AAAGCACTTATCTTACTCAATTTAATTCTCCCAAAAAAATACCTTAAACAATAGATTTCATATTTTTATCAAATAGTACACTTCATGATGAATCTAACAAAATTTAGTTCACTCAATTTGGACATTCCGGGTGCTCTCCGTTTTGGCACGGCGCGCAGGCGCCGACGGACAGCCGCCACGCGACGCGTGCGGCCTGCGTCGGTCGCCCACGACGCGCGGTAATTTGAATCGGCTAAGTGCTGATCCAATTGACTGACAGCGCTACTTCATGCCTCTATATCTCCTAATCCAGTTCGAGTTAGAAAAAACTTCTTTAATAGAAATTATAGAGCTATGTGAGTACTATAACTTTGCTTTAATGATCCTGGTCTAATTCAAACTGGTTTTCAAACTACATTGCTCCAAAGTGGGCTGCATTGAAACTAAAATTCAGTTAAAGATAGCGAAATTTCTAGTTTTGAAAACAGCATTTTATTGATACTTGTGAGCTATATTTGACCATGTTTGGCACTGATTCAGCTCATGACCCTTAAATAAAGTTTGTTACCCATGACAAGAACTACAACTTTTATTTAGGTCACACATCCATGCAAATACTCTAAGCTACTATTCAACTTTAGTCAAACTAGTATCATAAAAATGTCATTTTAAATGAAACCAACACTTGAAAGCAAATTTGGTCTATGTCATGAATACAAAAGTTATTTTATATATCATTCTAGATGTGTCTAAGGTGTTTTCATGACCTCACAACCATTTTATACCTTGGTCATACATGATTACAAGCATAAGCATATATATAAAATCAACATTTCATGTGATAAGGTATAAGAATGAGATGAAATTTCATATGCTCATGTTCATGAATGAATAGATGATGCTTGTGCTCATGAAATGCAAGTACCAAATGCAAAGCTTAACACTGGAGTGTTACAGGAATTAGATGTGCAATTTTCTTATCTTCTCATCTGTTGCAATGATCTATCTAGTTCACTTTTACCTACAAAAATATATCTATTTAACTAATGATAAAGCATGTTCTTTAGTTTGCTCAGACTGGAGTGAGAAATGGGGATGAAGTTTCCAAGGGTTCAGTTGTGAATAGCCAGAAGGATTGCATCAAATTAAGGACCTCTATTGCTTTGACAATGGATGTTGTGTCAGCTTCCCCTCGATATTTCTTCGAGGCAAGAATCAATATTTTGAATGCATCTTATAACCTCTTTTGTGTTATTTTGATATTACATATCTAATATGTCATACCAAGCAGCCACTGCTCACATAAAACCAATGTCCTTTGGTAGGCCATGAGCTTTTTTTCATTTTTTTTTTTTTTTTTTGCAACAGGTGAACGTGAGTATTTTACTGCTCTTGAAGTAAGAGATCTCTACCAGTACAATCAGGAGAGTAGGACTGTTCGTAGATGGCTTGGAATGCACAATAATTTGTTTCGTAGATGGCTTGGCATGCACAATAATTTTGGCAATAATATACCCATTTTTTACTTCAGTTATTTTCCATTGTTTAGTAGTGACATGTTTTTTTGGTGTTTTTAGGTGTTGGAGGATTTTCCTTGGGTGCGAATGCCTTTTGAATGGCTGGCGCATCTAGCACCTGCCACTGAAGAAAATATCCTTTTTCCATCTCATCATCTCTATCGGCACATCCAAATCAAATTCAGTTGAGTGTTAGCATTGTAGCATGGCTTACTCCATTCGAGAGAACCCGGCATGGACTCTGATCTACATGGCTGACCAGGCTCAATCCAAAGAAATGTATGTTCTGCTCAATTAGCTTGCAGTTAGTATCCTCTCTTCTGCTTCAAGTAGCTTTCAATTAGCGATGTGTTGAATCTGTGTACGACTCAGTAGTGACTGTTGATTAATGGTATGCTTATGCTGTCTCTGCAGGAAAGAAAGTTCCTCATCAAGGAGGCGGAAGGTTTCTGGATGCACCCTGTTTTACTTGGATTTGTACATATATTAGTTAACATTATCCTAGAATATCTGCAATCTCCAACCACATAGTATATGGAGTGAGCAGTGAGCTTGATAATTTGTTACACTTTGTAAATGACTGCCTTTCTTTAAGACAGGTGTTTGATGTCACAGAAATAATTTTTTGTACTCTGATCATGATAGAAGCAGAGTAATTGTACTCTGATCCATCTAGTTCCTATATTTTAGGCAAATTTTGTTGTGGGACATTGCATAAACTTTTAATTGGCTGGCACACACCGCAACGACGCTTCTTTGTTCAGTACCATTACAAATTCTTGGTTATTTGCCAGTGGACACCGCGCCAATTAAAATAAGAATTTCTTGTGTTAGGGAGAGAGAAACTTTATAAAATGACCATGGATGCCCCTGTGGACCGGACTCAGTTCGAGTTGGTCGAACCAGACCACATCCCGGCTGGCTCAGTTCGATTTGGTCAAGCCAGACCCCGAACGCATCGACCACGAGGAACCCTAGCCCTATCTTATCCCCACTCTCCTATATCCACCTGCTGCTGTCACCACCATTGCTCTATTCCCCGCTGGCGGCACAACGCAGATCTCAGTCGCTACCGCCGCCGCCGCCGGTGTCGCCCACTCAGTTGATGGACGCGTGAAGATGGTGGCGTCCCCGAAACTAAAGCGGCTCCGCCCGAGTATTGATTCTCCATCGAAAGGCCTCAATCTGTCATGGGTTCCTAACGGGTATGCACTTTGCTCTTCTACGCCCTTCTTGATTGTGGTCAGTCTCGGTCGTTGCGTTGATTTGCAGTTAGAAGTAGTTGTTTGGCCGATTTTAGGGATTTCATGTGTTGTTCCGGTCCATTTTTTTTTAGGATGGATAGTAGTTCTGCTTTAAGGAAAGCGGTGCGTGTCCCAGCTTATGTCAAGGCTTGCGATGACGGTAGAAATGTGCAGCATAGTGCATCAGATTTTTAGCTCATACTGGATAGGGACACTATGAATTTAAAGGAGTTGACAGAGAATGTAGCACAGAAGCTGTCTTACGGAAAAAATTAGGGCTTCAATCTATCATTCTTCGACAAGCACACCAAATGATAACCAATCTAACTACTGATGCAGCTATACCAATTTGCAGTGCTTAACGAGTTTGAAATTGTAGGTCCTTACAGTGAGTCCAAAAGGTACAGAGGGTACTGCAATGGGATCCAAGAGCAAGAAGAAGAAGTGCAAGTGGAGAATCCATGCTTCTCAACTGCAGGATGGTAGGACTTGGCAGGTCTGTAACTTGTGCAACTTGCCATATGAGACTACATAACTGATGTTGATAAATGTGCAACTTGCCATATGAGACTACATAACTTGCCATATGAGACTACATAACTGATGTTGATAAATGTGCAACTTGCCATATGAGACTACATAACTTTCCATATGAGACTACATAACTTGCCATGTATGATGTTGTATTTTTTTGTGATATATGAATGATATTGTGTATGTCTTTTTATGCAGATAAAGAGGATGTATGAGAAGCATACTTGTGCCAGCACATCCAAACTCAACCAGAATGGCATGGCTACCAATGCATGGGTGAGGGACAGGGTTATTGACATCCTGAGGGATGAACCAACAAAAGGAACAGCAGAACTTAAGAAAGATTTAGAGAAGAAGTACAACATCCAACTGTCCTACTATGTTGTGTGGGATGGAAGACAGATGGCTATAGAAGACATACAGGGTAAATGGAATGACAATTTTGAAGATGCTTTTAGATTCAAGGCTGAGGTGGAGAGAACAAATCCAGGAAGCTTTGTGGAAATTGATTGGGCAAAAGAGGGTAAGAAGATGAGGTTCACAAGGATGTTTGTGGCTTTCAAGAGTTGTGTTGATGGGTTCTTGAATGGGTGCAGACCTTTCCTTGGTGTTGACTCAACACATCTAACTAGAGGTGGAGAGAGGATATTAAGCTTCAAGATCACCGTGGATGGACACAACTGGCTTTTTCCGGTAGCTTATGGTGTCTTTGAGTCTGAATCTGCTGAAAATTGGAAATGGTTTTTCAGCAGCTGCAGGTTGCCATTGGATCTCCTCCTGGACTAGTAATTTGCACAGATGCTGGCAAAAGGAATTGACAAGGGAGTGACTTCTGTTTTCTACAATGGAATTGAGCATAGAGAGTGCATGAGGCATCTTGTGAAGAATTTTAATAAGAGGTACAGAGGGGCTGTGTTCAAGAAGCACCTGTGGCCAGCCAGCAAGGCTTACAACCAAAGACACCATGACCATCATTATAGCATAATGTAGAAAGCTTCACCAAGGGCTATGAAGTGGATAGAAGACAACCATAGACATTTATGGGCTAGATGGAAGTTTTCTCATGCAAGCAAGCGTGACTATGTTACTAACAACATAGCAGAGATATTCAACAGTTGGATTAGGCATGAGAAGTCAATGCCTGTAATCCCACTGTTGGACAGGATAAGGCAAATGATAATGGAAAAACAATATATTAGGAAGACACTGTCAAGCAAGATGACAGACAAGATCTTGCCTCACATCACAAAAAACTTCATGCTATGAGCAGGAACTTGCACTATGTGATACACAGAGGTCCTAACAATATTGCTGAGATTCAAGGCACTACAAAGGAACTAAAAACTTGGAGGCACACTGTGGACCTTGAGACTAGGACATGCAGTTGTCAGAGGTGGCAGATTACTGGATTGTCATGTACTCATGCTCTTTGTCTCATCAATTTTATGCGCAACAGAAGTGTGGAAGATTATGTAGACAACTACTACTATGTTGCTATGTTCAAGAAAGCCTATGAGAATGTGGTACACCCAATGACAGATAGAACTCAGTGGCCTAAAGTTCAAATGGGCTTCAAACTATGGCCTCCTCATTTCAAAAGGGCTGTAGGGCGTCCAAGAAATAGAACGATCAAAAGTTCTGAAGAAGGTGGTAAGAAAGGTAGACAGATGCATTGCAAGAGGTGTGGTCAGTTCGGTCATATGATGAAGACCTGTAATGAAACGGTCTATGATTCTGATGCACCCCCACCTAAGCCAAAGAGTGTGAGGACAAAGAAATGTAGTGGTACAACCACTGTGTCCACCCAACAGTCACAGATTGAAGGCCATTCTATTAGTGCTGCAACACCAACACCAGCACTAACAAACAGCCCAGCAGCAAACACTAGAAGGTAACATGAAGCAGTGGACACTTCATTTTTCTCAAAATTATTACTTCTTTGTGTTCTGAATGTTTTACCTTGTTTCTACTTCCTAACAGTCGCAAAAGTGCGTTGGTAGATGCACCTGAAGGCTTGCCGTAGAGTAAGAAGATGAAGAAGCTGATCACAACCAAGACAAGCAAAACCAACAAGAAAACAAAGACTACTACAGAGGGAACAAGCAAGACTGTGACCATTGCACATGATGTTTCCAACAAGAGGGTGAGCAAGAAGAAACTGATAATGGACCTGTGATGTCAGTTATGACTTCTTTTGTGTAATGCCACTTTTATGTAGACCAGTAATGAACTGGGTAATGGACCTGTGATGTTAGTTATGACTTCTTTTGTGTAATGCCACATTTATGTAGAACGAGTAATGAACTGGGTAATGGACCTGTTATGTCGAAGTCATACTTATGTAATGCCTGTTGTAGTCTCATATGGCAACTTATGTAGTCTCATATGGCAAGTTGCACATTTATCAACATCAGTTATGTAGTCTCATATGGCAAGTTGCACATTTATCAACTAGCTGGAAACAGGTTCACAAACAACGTCTTACAAATAGCTAGATACATGTTAGGCTGCTACCATCTTCACTTAACCAACAACACTAACAGCATTAACACTAAAACGAAAAGTTTTGCAGCAGCAACTACAAGCAGCCTCTCTCCTATCTTTTCAATATTGTTGTCCAAAGTGGCGTGGCTGTCAACTAGAGCCTTGAGCATTGCCTCTGAATCTTTCAGATGATGAATGACAAAGATACAGGCAATGATCTTGGCAGGCCTCAACACCTTGGTAGGCCTTCACCATGTCATTGTCAGCCTTCACCACCTCCAGCGCCATGCCGTCTCGCCCTCTTATTTGACTCCAACCACGGGGAAGATGGCCTTGGGCGACCAAGTATTCCACATACTGTTCTTCAAACATGTATATGCCACAAGCAAAATCGGTCTGCAAACCATAGATGGGACAACTTGAACTTAAGAAACCAGATCTATCACCATGACAATAACAAGTCAACAAAAACTTACATGCTCAAGCAGTGAACACTTGTAGAACCTCTTCCCCTTGCTACCGGTCTTCTGTGAGACGCATCCGATGAGTTTGGTTCCGCACTTGGAGCAAGCAAACAATGGCAAGAAGCCTGCAGGGTCCCTATACGGCTCAACGGACAAGGGGGGCGAGTGAGGCGCGCCGTGGGGGTGGAATCTGAGCTCGATACCATCCCGAAGCCCAAACCTAAGGAACTAGGGTTCCTGCAAAAGGGAGACGGAGGACGTGGAGAGAATGAATGAGGCTAAGAAGAATGGGGAAGAAGAAGGCAGGTGTGTCCGGGTCCGATCCATCTGTTTATATGGTTCAACTAAACCACGAACGCGACTCAAGCCGGCTAGGGCAAAATCATCTACTCCATCAAGTTTCTCTCTCCCTGACACAGAAAATTCTTATTTTAATTGGTGCGGTGTCCACTGATAAATAACCAAAAATTTATAATGGTACTAGGCAAAGAAGCGTCGTTGCGGTGTGTGCCGGCCAATTAAAAGTTTATGCGGTGTCCCATAGCAAAATTTGCCTATATTTTATCTAGGTTATGTATTCTCAATGTTAGAATAAAACTTCTAGCATATTGGAGGAATCATATTGGAGGAATCTTGCTGATGAGTAAAGAACGCAGAATTTGTGTTTGAGCACTCGTTCATTGATATTAAATTGCAGAATTTGTCCTTGAGCGATTGTTCCTTGGGATTAAAATGTTGGGTTGCTAGTCTTCTGTGTAGGTATCTATGGATTGACTATTTATTGAAGATATGATTTGAGCAAATTTGTCATTATTATAAGCTGCCAATATGTATATTATGACAAGTAATGGCTTATTTTGTTCTTTCGAATGTTTTTTTTTATTATTTATGATATTTTAAGATCTTTCGAGATCTTCCAAATACTGGTAGTATACTGTATACAAGCTAATAGGCAAAGGCAAGGAAGATGATGCAATATTGGCATGCAGCTTTGTAGGCTTCCACATAGCAAACAAACTCGGTACCGTGGACGGCGGCGCTGCGAACAACCAGCTCCCGGTGGTACGTCCGGCGGCCGCATTGTGGCTGATGCGGAGGCAGGGTGGGCAGCTGTTACGGGGAGGGTGAGCTCTTTGGATTGGGCACGATAAGTGCGGGATGCCCATTCTTTGTCAAAGGCATCGCTACTGATCGCCTTTCTATCTTCGACTTCTCTTTTTCAATAAAAAAAGTCATCAATTTTCCTTTTGTCCTTTTTGTTTCATATATATCCATTCTAGATTCTAGTAAATAGTGCATTATGACTCCCAAAATTTGTGCTGAAATATAAGGCATTCCATACAGTGTTTATGTTTAGATTTAGTAAAATTTGTAAACAGGGAAACTAGTCATACCTGTTCGCCTGATCGTATCAGCCATGATATAGCGTTTTTCTCTCACAACAAAACAGCATCAGCCGGCTTATAAGCCACAGAAACGATCAAGCGAACAGGGTGATATTGAGCTGTCAGACTTTTCCTCTAGATCAGACCTGTCACTAACTTGCTTATATCATTCAAAATGTAAAACTAGTCACGCAACATTAGAGGAGAAAGCAAAGTGACATCACAACCATGACGGTGTAGAGTTCTAACCTGAATCACATTACTCTGTCGAGTGTCGACCTCTGCAGATCAAATGGTTACAGTATCCATCTGAGATATTTTTTTATGCGCCTTACTGAAAAAGTAGAAAAAGGGACCCGACGACAACATGGCAACCTGAATCCCATCACTCTGTGCACCTGTGCAGATCAAATGGTTACAATATCCATTTGAGATATCAGATCGCATATTCTTGTCATTCCAATGTGACGCCGGGTCAGCATGCGGCGTCGATCACGCCCCCCAAAGAAAAACAGTTGATGCACAAAGAAGAGAATAATGCAAAGAGAAATGTTTCCGTAAGGCAATGAGCTTATGCAATGCATTCATGGAATTCCGATTGCCAACTTGTAACACATCATTCCTTTTCTATCACCTATCCACAAACAAAAAGCCTACAGAATATTCTCAACCCATCGCTGATCACTACTGCTGCTCTAATCCTCTTCCAGTCTGAAAATAACTTGTGGATCGCACCTTGCCAAATCATAGCAAGCTGACCATAGGATGATACGGTGCAAGTTGTGCAACAAGCAAGGTCACCACTGCAATTGCCAGGGCAGATCGGAGCACAGTGGACGCCGACCACCATGACGTTATTTTCAGAGCACTGGCGTCACTTGCCTTCAAGGATGCAAGCCACACTGAATCTTCCAGTTGCTCGTGGCTTGGCCTCCGCGACGAATGTTTGGATTTGTCACTGCAAAAATGTCAAAATAAATATTGATGAAGTCTGCACAGCATATTAGTAGTTCGTCAACAAGAGCATGAACTTGTGAAGTTAACTAAGCAACAGATGTGAGACCCTCGATCAGTCTGATGTGTTCCTTGCAGTTCCAACTCGGCAGTTGTGACTTTCTAGTCACACAGCACACAAGGTGGCAAGGTGCCGAGTGGGGACAGAAGGAAAAAGATGGGAAAGAGAAGAGTACAAATCAAAGCTTCTTTGCTTTGCTCCAAGACTAAGAATTCCGAATCAAGACCTCCTCCTTCTCACGTAATCTATGTCAAACAAGCATTGCAGCTCGAAATTGCAACTGAAACTGAAACTGAAAGTGAAGGAGCTAGATGAAGGAATGAACGATTGATTTGAGCAAGAGGTAATGAGAAGAACCTAACCTGGTCGGAGTGGATTTGGGGCAGAAGGTGATGGTGTAATCGGTGTGGTTGCAGGTGAAGGTGGATGTGGCGTCGTCGTAGGCGTAGCTGTAGGACTTTGGGCACGCCGACTTGAAGAGCTGCGAGTACTGCGACGGGTGGCAGGTGTTGGGGTTGCCGTAGGCGCCGTTGCAGCAGTACTCGGGGCTGCCGAACGCCTCGCACGCGCTGCGGCAGGCGCGGCCGTCGTCGGCGCGGAGCTCGTCGGGGCAGCGCTCGTTGAGGTCGACGAGGCACCCCGTGTCGGGGCAGTCCGGCGCGGCGGCCTGCACGAGCATGGGCAGGTTGTAGCCGTCGACGAGGCTGACGTCGTAGAGTCCCTTGCCCCCGCGCCGTCGAGCGTGAACTCGGCGAGCGTGGCGGGCGGGGACGCCCCCCGCGCGCGGCACTCGACCTCGCCGGACCCGCAGTCGCCCGTGGCGCAGGAGCCCTTGCCGGAGCCGTCGAAGGCGCAGCCGGACCGGCCCCAGAAGCGGCCCGACCACCCCTGCGGCGCGTACAGCGAGCGCGACTGCCCTGGAGACAGCGCGAACCCCGTCGTCTCCAGCGGCGGCGTCCCCGAGCCCGACAGCAGGCCCGGCCACACCGTGTCGTCGCAGCGGTTGGTGAAGGTGAACGTGATGCCGCACACCGACCCTGCGCGACGGACGGACGGACGCGGGCACCACACCGGAAACAACCGACGCGGGTTCAGTCAGTCATACTTGCGGCTTGCCCATCCATCCCCACACGAATCCAAGCAATCAATCCAAAGGCGAGGAAACGAATCGGAGCCGCCACGTACGTACCTTGGAAGAAGGAGAGGATGAGGACGGCGATCGAGGCCGGCGAGCCCGGCAGGCGCGCCCGAGAAGCCATTGAAGGAGGTGGCACGGTGCTGGGAGGGAAGCTCGAGCGCGAGGCGTGCTGGTGGTCGGGAGCTCGATTGTGAGGCTGGATGGGCGATTGGTACTAGGTAGAGTGAGGAGGAGCCGGGGCGTGTGCGGCCGTGTAATAAGGCGGCGGCGGCGGCGGCGGCGGCGGCGGTTGGGGGGAGTGGAGGGGGAGATGGACCCGTGGAAGTGGGCGCGACCCTCACGGCCCGTATCCCCACCTCGCCTCGCCTTCGCTTGCGGGCGGGGGGAACGGGGGATGCGCCGATGTGGGGGGTGGGGCTGCGGAAGCCGGGAGGCGTGCCGTGCGTGGCTTGCCGGTTTTATAACCGCCGGGGACGGACGGTGAGGACCGGCCGGCACCGGCAGCAAACCAGTCAATTCAAACCGAGATGAGTGGATTCCTGTGTTCCGTTCTCTCCTCTCGTCTCATGGGTCAAGCAATCAGCGATTTGGAAGGGTCCTATTCAAAGGGACAAAACAGATCTGGCGTGGCTCACCGTCCTTTTTCATTCATTCACGAGTCATGACTCATTAGTCGTGGCTCATGCAGTCAGTCATGTTTGAGAAACATTTTGGGAGAGAAATACAGCACGGAGCTACAGATTGTCAGATTCCGGGAGCACGAGCATGACATGGGAGGAGAACAGGCGGGACCAGTGGCTGCCTGATGATTGCCGGTTCTAGTTTGGCTTGTTGGTGAGTAGAGTAGCTGGTGACGACAACCTCTTGTCTGCTTCCGCTGCGTAGAATACCTGTCGCTGTCACGCATCGGGAGAAAAAACGTAAGTCACGTCATTGCCTCATTGGGCGGTTTTGTACTTGGATGTACGAAAGGCCGCGCCGCGCGAGTCCGCGACGCATATGCATAGTTGACTCGGTTGGCACCACGTTCGCGAGTCCGTGCTCTCCGAACGTGGAAGTGGGGCGCCCTCCCGCTCGCTCGCCTGGCTGGCCGCTAGCGGTCCGATCGGTGATCCAAGGGCCAGGCACGCGACAGCGAGGAAGGCTGTGCGGTCCGCGTAGGTCTTCTTGAGGCCGATTCTTCGCACGTAAGCAAACCGACCGACCGACGATGGATCGTGTCTACTACGGGACACGCGCGGCGCCTCCGGGAGTGGAGTGGCAACACAAGGAGTCGAGGACGACTGGGCGAGGAGGCCGCCGTGGAAAGGCAGCCGCGATCGTCTTTCCGTAACACGAGCAGCAGCCGCCGCCGCCGCCGCCGCCTCACTGCTCTTCCCAATCCTCACGGTGGTCCGATCGACCTGACTGCCTGCCCCTTTGCCCTGTCCTCCCCTTCCTTTGTGAATGAAAAGGGAAAAAACGCGTGGAAAAGGAAAGGAAAGAAAAGTATCGCTGGCCTCAGCATGCGTCGTCCTCCACTCCAGACTCCACCATTGGCGATGACGCGATGTGCCGTGCCGATCGGCCGCTGCTGCTGCTGGACCTGGCTGGACTCGTGTAGTCGTGCCGACTGACCGGCGAAGCCGCGGGCGGCGGCGCTCCCGGGCGGGCTGAGTATGTTCCAGTCGATGTGGCCCCGACAACTGACGGAGCGATCGACGACGCGCCATCGACACGTCGGCGAGGGCGGATAGAGGAGGTGTCCCAGCCTCCCAGGGAGTGCATGGGCACGTGCCTACTGTGCGATGTCGGCCGGTCCTGACGCTGTCTGGCATTTTTGCCCCGCTGGGTGGGTGGGCAGTGACGGGTCGTCGTCGCCGATGAAGTGATGAGGCTGCGTCGTCCTGGACTCCTGCCTCTGCTTGCACATCACTTTGCTGTTGCCGCTTCAGCAGCAGCTCATCCGATCCTGATGGAACGCTGGACCATCATGCGCCTAATCCTGAGTCCTGACACGATCCGCATCGCTGATCGCTTTGGCTGTCGTGCGAAGGAATCACCAGCAGAATCTTACAGACCATGCACCCATGCCTTACCTTTGGATTCAGGCTCAGATTCTGGGCAGTGCAAATTGCAACGCTGATAAGATTCGCCTGTACCGCCTAATCACCCGAACCTCACTTGGCCGATCTCTCTCCCCCACTCATCCAAACAGACTGCTGCGTGCTGCAGGGTACCACCTACAGGTCCAGGCCCTCAGTCCGTGTCTGCCTTCCTCGTAACGACGGAAACACTGAATCTCGCAAAATTCCTGCAAAACAGTTGGTGAAAATTTTGAACCTGGCAGTGCCTAAGATAGTTGAGCTACTGTACAAGTGAATGAATGTTAAGAGCAAGCCCAGATGGTTGCATTCGCAAGGTCGCACCCCCCTCCTTGTTCTTCGCTGAAAAGCTATGCTGAAAGGTACTATTCGCTGATTTGTTATGAGACTGTACTATAGCTAAAAAGCAAGGCTGATAAGTTCAAGCAAACATAAGCTTCACAGAAATGGATATGGCCACATCAACTGTGCATTCGATCCGGTACTTCAATACAACACGACGGATGCACGCACCTATCAATTCGCTGCAGCAGTTGTTAAGAATCGACGGTGCATATGACGATAAGACGCTGATTGCATGTCTGAATCGGATCCAAATAGGACATTCGCCAGCAAAAAAGATCGGGTCAAAGCGTGAAAATGACAGAACTTCTTTATTTATGTCATCTAGGAAATTGAGGATACTTATCAAAAAAAAAAGAAAAAGAAATTGAGGACAAGGGTTGGCAATGGATTTGTCCCTAAAGACGCACTACAACAACCAAGAAGCCTCAAACCTTCTGCCTTTCTGAACTGAGACATGGGTGCTTTCTTCCAGCTATAGCGAAAGGGCATATCATCCACCCAAAAGAAAACTCCTAAAGCTTAGTCTAGAACATGTTGTATTCGCAAATTGAACTTGATGAGAGAAAGAGCTAAATTGTTCTGCTTTCCATAATTCTTCGACATATATATGCTGCTCGTCAGTGACCAGCGAAAGCAGACTTGCAGCAAGGTAGCACAGTTAGAAAAGTAATAAACGTTGTTTAATTTGTGACAATATTTGTCAAACCAAAACAATCAATTTGACTAGCCCAAGCAATTCACTTTGTCGCTTTGAAGTTTGAACCCCTATACGAGATATCGATTCTATTTTGTCCCAAGAACTATTTAAATGGTCCAATTCACTCCCAATGATGTACGGAGTTTTTTTGCTCCTTGTACGAGTTATGTCATGTGTTCAAATCTTTTGGGTAATTAGCTGGTATCATAATATATGCTGAAAAAAAAATACTCTGATGTTTTTTTTTTTTGCTTATTTTTCATGCATTTTCATGTATATGTGGAGGGCTAATGTAAATTTAAGTGCTCCCAATTGATAAAAGCAAGCGTGAAAAAAAATCAGAACTATTTATGTATCATAGGGTATATGATGATGCCGGCACACCTTACACAATTTAAACCCAGAACATAGCTTTGACATGGATGGAAAAATAAGAAAATGTTCATCTGGGGCTGGTCCGGTTTAGTGTTTGAGAGAACAAATTGAGTTAAACGAGTAACAAACTGAATAGTTGAGAGTAGTAAATGGACTATTAGTATTTCCCAATTAACAAATGAAGATACAATTTCCTTTTGTCCAACAGAGATCAGCATAAAATATTTAGCGCTGTATATGGTTCAAGTTCCTGCATTAATTAGCACAGTACATGGATGGATTCCTTAAGAGCCAGCAAAGAAACCACGTGATTCATGTCAAAGAAATTCTTTTTCAGTAAATGAGTAAAACCTAATATACATCAATGAGCAGGTTCAAGTGACAAGACAGAGTACAATATGCTGATCTGCCCCAAAAATGTGGCTGTGCTAGTCACCAAATAAGATAGAGTTAAGAATTAAAGCTGATGCTGATATCCACACAAACAAAACTTCACTGATTTTGCCTCCACTATCAAGGGATAAGTATCTCCCCTAAGAAGGGTTATACTATACCACATTGTTCACCACCAAATGAGATACAGGTTTAGGAAAACCTATAAGAAAAAACCTTCTGATGATATATTATATCCTCAAAAACAAAACTTTACGATCGCCTCCAGTATCAAGAAGCTAGGTCCCAACCAAACATGAAAACGACACGGATTACTTCAAAAAAGTTTCACCTATGTTTTTTTTCCCTCTGAATGAACATAAGAAGGTTAACCAAGCTATGAATAAAGTTACCTGAATGATCTATATACAGTAGTCAGTTGATGTACGTGAAATTGTGAAGGTGAAGCGGCAGCCATCCTTCTGTTTCTGTTTCCGTTTCCCCTCCTTATAATAACACAAGTTAACAGCAGCGTTTGATCAATAGTATCCTACTCTGGACTGGTAGAGCTCCATCCTAATCTTGGCCTCGGGCAGCAAGCTCTCGATCACCGGATCCTGTGACATGTATCCTTGCTTCCACGCCCAGTCGAGCACCGTCAAAATCTCGGCCTGCGCGAGGTCCTCGCTGTCGGGGACGTTGTGCGCGAGGTAGCAGACGAGGACGAGCGCCGCCGTCTGGACCACCTGCTCGCCGAAGTAGACGAGCTGCACCAGGTGCTTGGCGCCGCCGTGGGCGATGATGGACTTGCAGTGGTCCACGTGCAGGTAGTTGTCCATGCACGCGAACTTGGCCAGCGCCGCCGCGGCCTCCAGGCTCACGTCGGCCTCCCGCTCGTCGAGGAGCCTGACGAGCGGGCCAATGACCCGGGTCTCCGTCGCCCGGAACGTCCTCGACAGGCACCCCAGGCACGTGATGCAGGGGATGAGGAGGTCGTCGTAGTCGGCCTTCTCCACGACGCGGAGGAGCTGGTCCACCACGGCGCGCGCCGAGGGGGAGGTGGGCTTGAACGCCGACCGCCGGAGCTCGGCGTTCTGCTCGGCGACGCGGCAGATCTCCACAAGCGCCATCGCCGAGTTGTACTGCACGTCGCCCGTGGCCTTCTCGAGGAGGATCGAGAAGCAGAGCAGCGCCCTCGACTCCGTGATGTTCTTGCAGATGGCCGGGTTGCCCGTGGCCAGCGTGCCC